ACACTAAACAAATCAGAAGACACCTTCCAGAAAGTGGTCGCTTTTCTGTTCAGAGAGTTGTTTCTATTCTTTTCTTCGATCTCTTGTTGAATTCGTAGGTGTTCAGAATGGTTTGATCCCTATCTAGCTGAATTCCTGGGACCAGACGAAATTTAGGTCTCCTACTACTCCACCATCTTGCTCCTCCACCTGGTAAATTCAAGTTTAACTGGCTATCTTGTATTTTTATTTCTTAAGCCTAGAAGCCCTAATCATGAAAGAAGTAAGAAGCCAGGAAATTATTAGCCTAGATTTTTGTAAGGAAGCTGGGATTACTGAGATGATCCAGCAGGTTGTAGTAGATTGGGTGCTGGAGGTAGAGGTGGGGTTGTAGGGATGGTCATGCCAGGAATATGGCTCAGAAGCATTCTTAAATATTTAAAAAAAAATCTGGGTATAACATAATTATTTTGTTTTTCGTTGTGGCAAAATATACATAACATAAAATTTACTACTCTTACCATTTTTAAGTGTAGATTTCACTGGCCTTACATCCATTCACATCATTGTGCAAACATTACTACCATCCATTTCCTGAACTTTTTCGTCTTCCCAAACTGAAACTCTATATCTATTAAACATTAACTTCCTATCTCCCCTCTCCATAATCTCTGGCCACCACCATTTTACTTTCTGTTGCTATGAAATAGACCATTTTAGGTACTTCATATAAGTGGAATCATACAGTATTTGTCCTGTTATGACTGGCTTCTTTCACTTAGCATGTCTTCAAGGTTCATCCGCATTGTAGCACGTGTAGCAGGTGTCAGAATTTCCTTCCTTTCTAAGACTGAATAATAATCCTTTGTATGTATCATATTTTGTTCATCCATTCATTCATCAAGGACACCTAGGTTGCTTCTGCCTGTTGTGAATAATGCTGCTATGCTAATTAATCTTACTAAAGGTTTGTCAATTTTGTTAATCTTTCCAAAGAACTAACTCTTGGTTTTGTTGCTTTTTCTCTATTTTTTTATTATCTCTTTTTATTTCCATTCTAATCTTTAATATTTCCTTCCTTCTGCTACCCTTCAGTTTAGTTTGTTTCTTTTTTCTAGTTCCCTAAGGTGAAAAGTTAGGTGTTGACTTAAGACCTTTCTTCCTTTTTAATGTGTTTACAGCTATAAATTTCCCTCTTAGCATTGCTTTTGCTGCATCCCATAAGTTTATGTTGAATTTTTATTTTCATTTGTCTCAAGATATTTCCTGATTTCCCTGTTATTTCTTCTTTTAATCATTAGTTGTTTTTAAGAGTGTGTTAATTTTCACATATTTCTGGAATTTGAAATGTGAATTTTTCAGTGTTCTTTCTGCTGTTGGTTTCTAGTTTCATTCTATTGTGATTGGAAAAGATACATTGTATGATTTCCGTCTTTAAAATTATTAAAATTTGTGTTGTGGCTTAACATATGATCTGTCCTGGAGAATATCCCATGTGTATACATTTGAGAAAAATGTGTATTGTGTTATTGGATGGACTGTTCTCTATATATTTGTTAGGTTCATTTGATCTATAGTGTTGTTCAATTCTAAATCTAGGTCTTTTCATTGGGGAGTTTAATCCATTTACATTTAAAGGAATTACTGATGGGGAAACATTTACTTTGGTCATTTTGTTATTTTCTCTATGTTTTGTAGCTTTTTTCTCCCATATTTCCTCCGTTACTATTTTCCTTTGTATTTAGTTGATTTTTTATAGTGACAAGTTTTAATTCCCTTTTCATTTTTTTGTGTGTATATTCTATAAATATTTTCATTGTGGTTACCATGGAGATTACAAATACTGTCCTAAAGTTATGACATTCTATTTTATATTGGTGCCAACTAAACTTCAATCACACACAAAAACTACTCCTTTATAGCTCCACCTCTCTGTATGTTATTGATGTCACAAGTCAAATCTTTATATGTTGTGTCCTCATTAATATAGATTAGTAATTATTTTCATGCATTTGTCTTTTGAGTCCTGTAAAAAAGAAGTAGATTTATAAATTAAAATTAGAATAATACTGGTTTTTATATTTTTAAAAAAGATTTTACTTATTTATTTGACAGAGAAATAGAGCCAGAGAACACAAGTGGAGGGAATGGCAGAGGGAGAGGGAGAAGCAGGCTCCCCACTGAGCAGGGAGCCTACATGGGGCTCGATCCCAGGACTCTGGGATCACGACCTGAGCCGAAGGCAGACACTCAACCATCTGAGCCACCCAGGCACCCCTACAATTTTCTTTTTTTTAAAAATTAGTTTCAAGAGGTAGTATTTAATGATTCATCACTTGCATATAATACCCAGTGCTCATTACATCAAGTGTCCTCCTTAATGCCCATCACCCAATTACCCCTTACCCCCACCCACCTCCCCTCCAGCAACTCTCACTTTGTTTCCTAGAGTACAGCATCTCTTATGGTTTGCTTCTCTCTCAATTTTCATCTTATTTTATTTTTCCTTCCCTTTCCCTATGTTCATTTGTTTTGTTTCTTAAATACCACATATCAGTGAATCATATGGTATTTGTCTTTCTCTGACTGACTTATTTTGCTCAGCATAATACCCTCTAGTTATATCCACATTGTTGAGAATGGCAAGATTTCATTCTTTTTGACATTTACCTTTACTGGAGAACTTTGTATTTTCCTATGGTTTCAAGTCACTGTCTAGCATCTTTTCATTTTAACTTGAGGGACTCCATATAGTATTTCTCATAAGTCAAGTCTAGTGGTATCAAACTCCCTCAACTTTTATTTGTCTGAGAATGTCTTAATTTCTCCCTCATTTTTTGAAGGACAGTTATGCTGGATGTAGAATTCTTGGTTGATAGTTCGTTTTTTTTTTTTTTTTTTTTTCCTTCAGCACTTTGAATGTATCATCCTTCTGTCACTGCCCTGCAAATTCATGGTGAGATAGCCACTGATGGTCTTATTGGGGATCATTCATACATGTCAAGTTGCTTTTCTCTTGCTCCTGTCAAGAATCTCTTTTTGTCTTTGGCTCTGACAGTTTGATTGTAATGTGTCTTGGTTTAGGCTCTTGGTTAATGCTACTTGGAGTTCACTGAAGATTCTTGGATTTGTATATCCATGTCTCCTCAAATTTGAGAGGTTTCCAGCCAATTAATTCTTCAAATAATCTCTCTGCCCCTTTTCTTTCTTCTTTTTGGGATTTCTGCAATGAGTGTATTTGTCTGCTTACTGATGTTGTGTATGTCCCTCAGGTTCTATTCACTTTTCCCCGTTCTCGGTCTCTTTTTGCTCTACAGACTGAATAATTAAAATGACTTGTCTTCAAGTTATCCCATTCTTTCTTCTTTCTGTTTGAATCTGCTGTTGATCTTCTATGGTGAATTTTTCTATTCAGATATTATATTTTTCAGCTCCAGAAATCCTGTTTAGTTTTTTTATACTTTCTCTTTATTGATATTTTCACTTTGCTGATATAGCCTCTTCCTGGTTTCTTTGTCCATGTTTTCTTTAGCTCTTTGAGCATATATATGGCAGTTGTTTTAAAATCTTTGTCTAGTAAATCCAGCATGTGTTCTTTAGAGACTTTTTCTAGAGATTTAGTTTATCCTTTTGAATGAGCTGTGTTACCCTGTTTCTTTGCCTTGTGTTTGTTGTTGTTGTTGTTGAATATTGGGCATTTGATGGGCGCCTGGGTGGCTCAGTTGGTTAAGCGACTGCCTTCAGCTCAGGTCATGATCCTGGAGTCCCAGGATCGAGTCCCGCATCAGGCTCCTTGCTCAGCAGGGAGTCTGCTTCTCCCTCTGACCCTCCCCCCTCTCATGCTCTCTCTCTATCTCATTCTCTCTCAAATAAATAAATAAAATCTTTAAAAAAAAAGAAAAAGAAAATTGGGCATTTGAAACAACAGTCACCTCTCTCAGTCTTTGCAGACTGGTGGGGAACACCTTCATTATTTGGTGGGCACCTAAGCATTAAGATCAGCATGGGGTGATGGCTTTAGATCTTCTCAGATGTTTTCTGGGCACACATTTAGTCTGTCCTGTGTGTGCACCACCTTTTTTTTCCTCCCAACTTTCCCTGGCTGGTTTTACATGTCTTAATTTCCGAAAGAGTCTCACGCCAGCTTCTTTTTGTGGCCTTAGATGTTCTATCATATTCCTCTGCCTATAATCCCTTGCACCCTGGCATACATGGGTCTGTAGACCCCCTGAAATTTTCACATGCTGTGATCTTAATTGCCTTATGTAGCTTCCAACCTGAGGTCCAAGCTATGCCATTTCCTGTCTGAGTTCCAAGTAAGATGAGACTGAAACTAGTCTACTGGGCAACCTACAGACAGCCCAGAATATTGCAAACAAGTTCCATTTTGCTCCTTCTGTCTTGAGGGAGGGAACTGGGAATTGGGTTGCTTTTTTCTGACTATGCCATGCTATGCCGGAGAGGGGGTAGGGCGAGAGTGAGCAAAGACACCATGAGATTTCTTATCATTTTTTTATTTTATTTTTTTAAATTTTTTTTAAGATTTTATTTATTTGCGAGAGAGAGAATGAGAGACAGAGAGCATGAGAGGGAGGAGGGTCAGAGGGAGAAGCAGACTCCCTGCTGAGCAGGGAGCCCGATGTGGGACTCGATCCCAGGACTCCAGGATCATGACCTGAGCTGAAGGCAGTCACTTAACCAACTGAGCCACCCAGGCGCCTGATTTCTTACCATTTTAAACATGTGTTTTCCTTGATTTGCTTAAACATTTAACTGGTTTCCAGAGCTCTTATAAGTTATTTTAGTCAGTTTGTAACTGTTTATTTGATGTTTCCATAAGAGAGCAAGGACCTGGAGCTCCCTACCTACTCTGTCTTACTGACATCATTCTCAATTATATAACCAAATCTTTTGAGACTTTTGCTTTCAAATGGAATATTTTGCTGGTAATTGGTGATAAATGTGGTGAAATTAGTACAGTTTCCACTACAAACTCAGCTTTTGTTTGTCTCTTTCCCCAGTACAAGCACGGAGGCCCCATCATTGCTGTGCAGGTGGAGAATGAATATGGTTCCTATAACAGAGACCCTGCCTATATGCCTTACATCAAGAAAGTAAGAGTCAGCTTGGTTTATTTCTTCATATTCCTTCCTCTGAAATGTAGTATGGGCTATGATGTGACATGTTGGCCTAATTCTTTTCTCATATTAATACCACATTTCCTAGCATCATTTATTAATTAGTGAATCCTTTCACCATACTTTTATTTCAGTGGGGTCATCACTTATTTACCCTCTATAGATTGAGTCTAATTGGGGATTGCAGTACATACATGGAATTGCAATGGCTGAGAATAAAGGGATGGGCTTCATTGAGTGTGATGATTAGTGAAGTCTCTCTGTAGAGGCTGCTCTCATTCTAGCATCTAAAGCAAGGGTTCCCAGCTTCATCTGAACATACACTTTAAAAATCCCTATGCCCAGGCCATATACCATACCAATCAAATAAGAATCGCTGGGGTGGTCCTCAGACATCTGATTCCAATGTGTAGGTTAGTTTGAGAACCACTGATTGAATGTATGGCAGACCAGTATATGGCAGGGCTAGATGATACTTAAAAAAACAGGCCTGTTTTTTTAGATCTGGTTTCTATCCTTTTGTAGCTAAGTCCTTGAGCAAATTCCTTAATTTTTCTAAACCTCCATTTTCTCTTCTTTGAAGTGGGACTAGTGAGAGAATTTGCCTCTCTGAATTGTGCATGTGTGTGAGATCACTTGGCTCAGGACTGTTCTAGGCATGTAGTAAGTAGTGAATAAATAACACTTTGATAGATTATTGGCAATGGTTTTAGGGTACTTAGAAGGACGGGCCATGGTGTGGGTTGAGGAAATGTTAAGTGGCCTCAGGGAATCCACCTAATTAAAGCTGCTTTAGCTTTGGCCCTTGATGTCAGCATCTCTTCTGCTGTCATAGGCAGATTCATTTTCCATCTGGAAATTACCTCATTCCCTGCACACAGGCAGACCAAGTTCAAGCACTCTAGCTTATAGGTTCTTATCTACTCTTGCCCCCTTCTTATCACCTGCAGAAAGCCCTGTGTAGGGAATAAGCCTTTATCTAGGAAGAGGCATTCCCAGGCATCCTGATAGTCAAGCCCAACTGCAGCCTGTTTAGACCATACCTCCAGCTCCATCTTTGCCTTTGAATTAGCTAGAAAGATCCCATCCAGGGCTCATGATAGGAGAGCTTCTCCCACTATAACTCCTTCCCTTGGACTGTCTCTCAAATGCTAGGGCTTCTCCAACAGGTGTTTACTGAGTCCTGAGCTATAGAGAAGGAGAGTTCTGCTAATGGGTGGGGAGGAGAGGGCAACCCCTTCAAGGGGCTTCTCCAGCTCAGTCAACACTTCCTTTGTGTCTGGGAAAGGTATCCATATGTGAGACAGATGGACAAAGGGAAGCTGCAGCACCCACCCGCTGTCATCCTGACCTCTTGGGAGGATCCCCTCTTAAGCTGTCTTGCAGCTTGTCCTGGGTGTTGCAGACATATGGACATCATCAGCACAGGATGACCTTGGGTAAATCACCTCACCTTTTTGAGCCTTAGCTTCATCATGTGCTTAATGGAGACAGGAATGCCTTTCTCTAAGGCTGCTCTGGGAATGAAGTGAGATTATAGACACAAGACCCCTAACTCTGCTTGGCAGATCGCTGGTGCTCAGGAAATAGTAATTACCCCTTCCAGTGTGCAGTCAATAAATTAATGCCTGTAAAAAGTCAAGTGTAATAGTACAGCTGTAAAAGAAGCTTATACCCTCCCAACCCCCACGATGTTATTTGCATAAGGTAGGAACTGAGGCAAAGCCTGTTACGTATCGGCGAATGACTGGCTAGAGAGTTGCGAGGTGCTGGGTCCAGGGCTTTTAATAAACATCTCACCTTGCTTAATGGATTGAACTTCTGCAGCTTCTGTTGTCTCTGAGAATTAGGGCCCCCTCTGCTCTTTCCTTACTGGCATCAGGCTTTAGACATGAACATTATGTACCCACTGGATTCTCTCTCTGTCTCACCTATTTCCCAAAGAATTTGGTTGAAATAAGCAGTCTTGTCAAAATATCTGCAGGGAAAATTAGAGGAGAGTCCCCCTTGCCGGGGTTTCTGATCCTTTAGAGCCCACAGCCCCAGAGCAGACTTTCCAAGGTGGACAGACTCTTGATTCAGGTCCATACTATCTAATTTGCTTTGTATCCCTTAACCCTTTATCCAACCTCTCTGAGACTCTTCCTCTGTACAGTTATTGTGAAGAGTGAATAGGACAGTCTATGTAAAGTGTTTAGCAGAAGGCCTAGCATGATTGTAAGTGGTTCATAAATGGTAGCAGTTATTCTGAGTAGTAAAATGGTTATTGCCTCTTAGCACAGCGTGTGCTCCTTCCACTTCTTCATTTGACAACTTTCAAGGAGCTCTTCCTGTTCTACTGGGCACGTGCAGTGTGTCATGGGCATGTGACTGTGTTGGACAGAGCCCTCCCTGGCCTAGTGTGGGGGAAGGATGGGCAGCTTGCTTCTGGTGCAGGGGGAGCTGGAGGGTCAGGAGGGCCTGGCCTGCTTGTGGAGACCCTGCAAGCCGGCCTGAGTGGGGCTGTCTAAGAAGAGCGCACGCACTAGCCAGATCTGGCACCTCACCACATCTGAGGCAGCCAAGGGATGCCAGAGCCTGACAGCCCTACCCCTGCCACAGCTGGACTTCAGCCGATAGGAGCTTTGTTGACCATGTTGGGCACAGACAGGATAGGTTTCTGTTCACTTTTTGCGGGGAAGTAAATGCTTTATTTTGAATCTTGCCCTCTTTCTCTTCTAGCTGCCACCTTCCCAGCTCTGAGGAACGACAGATTGACTTGTTTTCTTTTCCCCCATAGGCCTTGGAGGACCGAGGTATTGTGGAATTGCTCTTGACTTCAGACAACAAGGACGGCCTGCAAAAGGGAGTCATGGATGGAGGTGCCTGCCTGGATGCTGTGCGGGGGCGGGGTGGGGGGGGGGAGACAGCACCCTGGCCTCACTCTGCATGCTTCCCCAAATGGCCTGGGTCGCAAGTGGAGTTTCCCTGATGTCTGGGCTTCTCCTATTTGCATGGCATTGGGCCCGAAGCTCTGGGCCTCAGAGGGTTGGAGGATCTGTGGCAGACGGATCTCTGGTCTCCCACTTGGGCTGAGCACTCACTCAGGACACTAATAGTGCTCTGCAGACTGCAGGACAGGAATGGTGAGTTAGTCATCCTAGACGGAAGTTCTCTGAATGTCTGCAGAGAGGGCAGAGCAGATGAAGCGTTATGGGCTGTCCTGGGAGGGTGGCTTACTCAAACGCTGCCAAAATCATGGAGATGGGTGACCACCACCCAGGGGGTATGTAGCCCCTGTGGTGATGGCAGCTGGCTGGGCAGCAAGTGAACAGAAGATCACCGTGGCGGCCCTCCATCAGCGCCATCTGTTTCCCTTACTCTGCGTCTCTTCCTGTTACTGTAGAGGCTCTGGCCAGCTTCACCCTTGCGCACCAAGCCCCTTGTCCCTCAGCTACTCAAGGGCATTGCTCCAGCAACTCCTGCTTCTGCCCTGGGTCATCAGATTTTCTCTAATGGGTCATTCCCATCGGCATGTAAACATGTTGTTATTTCTCGCTTGTAAAACAAATCTCTTGATTCATTTCCCTATCTAGAGGCTGCTGTGTTTCTCTGCTCCCCTTCAAGAAATCTCCCCATGTCCATGCTCAATGGCCGCCCCAGTCCATTTCCTCTCCATCTCTCTCAAACCATCGGGGTCACGTTACCACCCTCACCATTCCACTGTCACTGCTCTTTTCAGGGTTGCCAGTGACCTCCGTGCTACAAATTTAAATGCTCGTCCTTGTCGCCTCTGACCTCTCAGATTTTGTCAGCAACCATCAATCTCTTTCGTCCCTTGGTGTCTGAGACCCAATTTCCTGTTTTTTCTCTGACCTCACAGGCTGCTCCTACTTGGTATCTCCTGCTGGTCACTTCTCTGTTCCTGAGTTCTGATGTTTAAATTCTTTACTTCTCACTGCTTGGAATGAATGTTCCTCTCCACACACTCACCACCCTGGTGATGTCATCCAGGTGCCTTTAGGTCTGACCTGTGTGTTGATGAGTGTGAGGTGCACGTCTCCATGAGCGACCTTCCTGAACTCCTGCCTCACGTGTGCATCTGCCTACTGGGCACAGCACCCCGGGAAGGCTGCCGATCTCAGTGGAACCCGCGGGGAACTGAACTTGTCTGTTTCCCTCCCAGAGCCTGTCCCACCTTCCGTCTTCTTTTTCTCAGTAAATTGCAACTCCATTTCCCCCAGTTGCCCAGACCTAAACTTTGTAGGCACTTTCAGGCCTCTCCTTGTGTATGCCGGACACACAGCAAATCCTTTTTATCTTTAGCTTTATCTTCAAATTTATCCCGATCCAAGTAAGTTTTACCCTGTCCGCTATTACCATCATTCTTATGTGGGCTGTTGCAGCGGCCCTGAACTGATCTCCTTTCTTCACTGCTGCCTCCGACACAACTTTTTCTCAACATAGCAGCATTTGCAAATGTCATTTGGATTGCCTCAGGCCTCACCTTAACTCCAGGTACACCCAGCCTTCCTCACACTGAAGCACAAGTTATGAGAAAGGCCTCGAAGGGCCTCCTTTGACCTGTGACCTCTGTGACCTGGCTAGGTGTCTCCTGGCCCCCCTCCCCCTGCCATCCTGTTCCCCCCTCCTCCTGGCCTCCTATCTGTTTCTGGAACATACTGGACACCCCCAGCCTTCCTGCAGAGACCTCTCCTCCCACTTTTCTCCCAGGTCACCTCGAAGTGAGGCTTCCTCTGAGCACCCATTTGAAATGCAGCTCCTTCTGGAGCTCCCCCAGCCCTTGGGCCCTGCTTTATTTTTGCCTTCTAACATTCTGGGTAGTTTCTTTGTTTTATTCACCTGTTTGACTGCGGCGGTAAGATCCACCAGGGCCTGGGTTCCGTCTTGCTTGGCGGTGCCCCTGTGCCTGGACACGGTTCATGCTCCGCAAGGATGATGGTCGTTGAAGGGCCTCCTATCAGCTGCCAGATACTTCCTAAGGGCTCCCACCACCCGCTTGCCTCTGCGGCAGCACGCCGGGCTTCCCGTTCCTTCTGCGTCGCCCTCCCCTCTACTAGACTGAACAGATAGGGCCTTTCATCTCCGCAGCCCTAGGCCAGCGCCGGCCTGCGGGGGGCACTCGGGGGTGTCTCGTTGGATGAACGGGCAAGAGAAGGCCCTTTCCCCAGACCCACTGAGCTCCTCAGGGACCAGCCGCGATTCCCGCTCCTTCCACGCGATGGCACTGTCTTCTTGTGGCTGCTTCCACGGCCTCCGCCGGCCCATCACTTCCGGTGGGGCCTGGGAGGGGCTGTGGCCAGTGCCCCCAGGCAAGACCCTTTGGAGGCGGGTGCACAGGGTTAGCGCGTGAGCACCGCGCTGAGCAACGCCGCCGACGCACGGAGGGAGTCGACGAGGCCGGCCGCGGGACTCCAGGCCCTCCTCCACGGCCCGCTCCGCCCCTCGCCATGCCCCGCCCCGCCCCGCCCCGCCGTGCCCCTCTCCCCCGCCGTCGTCCCCTGTGCCCCCCTCCCTACCCCGTCCTCTCTGCCCCCGCCTCCGCGCCGCCCCCCGCGCCGCCCCTCCCGGTGCCCTGCACCCCAACCCTTACCTCCGGAGCTCTGCCTGCTGTCGGAAGGACTTTTCGCCATTACCTAAAAGTGTAACTAGAGTTAAGGCATGCACAGGTGTAGCATAAGGTCGCAGAAATGCTGCTGCCTCCTCCCGGTCCCCAGACGTGACACTGGCCCGCGGCATCCCGGCGGCACCGTAGCTCCTCGGTGATTCTGACTGGCTTTACGGGCCGGCCTTGTGCGCGTGGAGATGCCTCTCCTGCCCGCCGCCCTGCCCTACGAGCGGTATTCGGGGCGCTGCTGGTGAGCTGACTCGCTTTCGCTGGGCTTGGTTTTCACTTTCAGTGTAACTGTCCCGTTTCCTTTTCTTGTCTTTCAATTCTCTTTTCTCTCCCCTTTCTCTTTTCATCGTTATTTTTTCTTTGAATTTGACTTGACACGCACATAGTTGACACACGTTACGTTAGTTTAAGGTGTGCCCCCCTTCTCTTTTAAACAAACGCTTTACCAAAGGTTTTCCAAACTCCTGTCACGTGTGTTTCAAATACCTGCACATATCAGACTCTATGTCAAGTCCGATGGGCCTGAGACCCCACCGCCCCTGACCTGATGGAAGCCGGCTACCCGGCTTTACCCGAGGTGAACTCTGGGTCTCCTGCCCAATCCCCCCTTCTCTGCGCTGTGCCCAGATTTTCTAGCACCCACCTCACTGCTGAGGTACAAGGACACTCTGGTTCCTGATCCTTTTATATGTTCTTCCTGTTTTTTTTCCTTCCCATTTCTAGAAAATTACAGGATTTTCCCTTTGTCCTCGGTATTCTGCTATTTCACAATGATGTTCTTTGGTGTGGGATTTTTTTCCTTTTGTGGAACTTTCGGGCGTCATTTGAATTGAAACAGTGGAACATCCAGTCAGTGGATTTTTTTTTTTTAAATGCTTTCCTTTTTCTGATCTTTTGGTCACTCCTGTTATTTGTAGGTTGGACTCTCATATCTATTCTCTAAGTTTCTTATCTTCTTGATGTATCCCTGCCCATTAGTTCCACTTTCTGGGTGACATCCTCAATTTGTCTTGTAATCCTCATATTTCCTGGGTCTTGTTTTCTTGAATATATTTCTTTTCTCATGGCATACTTTTTATTTTTTATTTATTTATTTATTTTTTAAAGATTTTATTTATTTGACAGAGAGACACAGCGAGAGAGGGAACACAAGCAGAGGGAGTGGGAGAGGGAGAAACAGGCTTCCCGCGGAGCAGGGAGCCCGATGCGGGGCTCGATCCCAGGACCCTGGGATCATGACCTGAGCCGAAGGCAGACGCTTAACGACTGAGCCACCCAGGCGCCCCACATGGCATACTTTTTAAATGGACACTATCTTTCTTACTTTGCTCTGAGGATATTTTACTTTTTTTTTTTTTTTAAAGATTTACCAGTTCTGCTCAATCTTCATGTGAGGGGATTTCCTCAATTGTTTGGCTCTGGAATGAGCAGTTTAAAGAGGACTGAGCAGTTTAGAGAGGAGGCACTAAACGGCCAGCTGGGAGCTGAGTGCCAGGAGGGGCTGGGGCAGGTGTGCTCCCCTGTAGGGTGATTGGGCTGGGGTGTGCTATTTCCAGGAGGGAAGCCCAAATGTCGGCGTTTGGAGATACTGTCTTTAGCTCTATTAAGTGTTTCCAGAGACGAATCCTTTGGTCTGTTGCTGCAGATATCCTGGGAGCAGACAGGAGGAATGGGCAGTAATCCTTTGGCTGAGATGGCCCTTACTGACCAGCTGCAGATCTCTTACTTCACAGTCTGCTGCGCTGATCCCTCCCAGCCTGGAGACACTCAGCTTACCTAGAGAATGTGGTCCTCCAGGGTGGGGCACCAGTGGGGAAGAGGCTTGAGGAGTGTGTGAGGCAGGGGACGGAAGTGTGTTCCCTGCTGCACAGTGCCTGGGACGTGAGACAAGGACTGGGGCTGGAGGGTGGGGAGTCGGTTGAAGCTTCTTCCACTCTTCTAGGCTGTTTACTGACCCACTGCCCTTTGCAGCCTCCTGAGATTTTCTTGAAACTTCCTCTCTGTTTTGTCTACTCTCTAGGTCTTGTTCTTTATGGACTTCCACCTTTGGATTCCTTTATTTTTATATTAGTGAGGAGTCAGGAAGGCTAGGAATAGATGCCATGTTTTTAGCCATTCTAATCCTGTTCACTTCTGAGATTTCTACCTGCTCAGTTTCAGACAGGCATCCTGTCTTCAAGGTTTCTCCTTTAGGTGAGGAGGTGTCTGGATGTGTAGGGTCTTATCCAGTGGCTTGCTAGGGGATGGTGACATCACAGGACAATGGGTCAGTGTCCGATGGGCCTGGGTTGCAGCACTACTCTGCTGCTCACCAGTTGTGTGACCTTGAAGCAAGTTATTTAACCTCATAGAGCCTCAGCTATTGTTTATTTTTAATCACTGGTAATCAGTGGCTTATGTCTACCAGGAGAGTGTCAGGGTGGCCAGCTTGGCGGGCTGGTTGGTCTCTGTCATGCATTCCCAGACCTTCGGGAGCTCAGGCCAAGCCCAGTGCATATGAGGCCTACTGTCCAAGCAGACAACAGGCAGGCAAGGAGCCTCAGAGCCAAGTTCTGCAGCTGGGGTAGGCTAAAAGGTCCATGACCATATAGGCCAAATGTAGCACATTTTTCTTGGGCATACTTTTCACTGATGCCATTTAAAATATAATTTTAAACTAAAAAATGGACACATTATGGAATGAAATAGAAAATTAGCCCTCATTTAAGAAATAAAAGGGAAGTCTTCATTTAGATCATTACTTTGCACTAAATGCTTGAGGTGCAAAACAAAGATCAGACTCTGGGCTCCTATGAAAGAATAATTACCAGAAATGTACACTCTGCTTGTAAAAATTACATTAATCAAGAACAGATGCCTAGTGAGTGATTGCCCTGTAAGCTCTGAGCTGAGTGGTGGAGTTTCTGAGAGGAACAAGATAAATCTCCTGACATCAGAGCAACTAAACTCTAATTGGAGGTGGGAAACAATGTCAAGATTAATTTATTTTGCTGGTAAATTGGGAAAGGTCTGCGTTAGTTCAGAAAGTCTCCCTGGCTTTTAAAACAATGCTTTGTTTCTCTTTCTCTTTTTCATTCACAGTGCTGGCCACCATCAACCTGCAGTCACAACATGAACTGCAGTTATTAACCAACTTTCTCTTAAGTGTGCAGGTAAGTCTGGCCCAGGGGCAGCTTCCGGCTCTGCTTGGGGTGAGTGTCGAAAGTCCTAGAGTCAAGTGGAGCCTCTGTCAGGAAGTGTGAACTGCTGTGAGGTACCTGCAGCTCTGCCCAGGGCTCCAGGATGGGGAGAGGACGGCTCTGGGCTCGCTCAGCCTTTCACCTCCCAGCCATACTTCTGCTGTTCACAGAGGCTCTGGACTAGAATTCTGTGGACTCCATTAGCCCCAGATATGCCCATCTTGGGATTGAGAGGAGTAATGCTTTCCTGACCTCTACTGTGTGTCTGACTTTAACCCGTAAGGTCCCTCTGGGCCTAGAAAGATTATTGTCATCAGCAAGATGGGAAGCCTGGGCCATCCCTGGTCAGAGGAGAGAGGAGAGGAGTTTCCGAGTATAAGTTCACATCCTTCAGGTTGATGGGAATTTACAGTTAAATCCTATTCTGATTGATTCTTTTCTCTTGAGTTCACATGCCTCTCCTAAGGAGGCAGATGGGATCTGGCCACGGTAGTGGCAGCCCATTCGCAGAGCTGGGGCCCCATCCCTCACCGTGTCCTGCTGAAGGGTGTGAATGCCCCAGACTGTCACCACCTATTAGGTGTAGGCATTGATTTCCCGGGCCTAGTGGGGAGCCACTGGAACATTAGTATCCCCCGTGAGTACATGGCTTCAGAGATGTGGGGGCTGTTCTCCATTCCACCTGTTCATTTCTGAGAGCAGAAGTAGGTCCAAAGGCACATCCATATGAAGTCCCCAGGGGAGTGTGAAGCTGTGGAGGATGAGGGCCACCTGTGTGTATGATGTGGCTACTATCTGAGTTTAGAGGGACAGGCGGAATGCTCAGGGAAGGTGACCAGGAAGAAATGGGGCAGGATGGGACCTGACACCAGGCAGACTTTGTTAGGCCGAGCAGGGGAGAGACAGTGGGCCCAGGTCCAGCCCCTTTCTCCCTTCCTTCCTTCCAGTGTTGACTGAGTGCCTGCTCTGTGTGTGGAATGTGGCTAGGCCCTGTTACCCTGTGGTGACTAAGATGGCAGGTCTTTGCCTTATGGGTTTGTGACCAACCTGGGGAATAAACAAAAATAAACAATAGCCCAGCAACTAAAGAGGATTGTACCTGAGTGCTGTCTAAGGCAGGTATAGGATATCGTGAGCTGTCTCTTTGCCCACTAGGTAGTGTGACCCCTCTGCTTCTCTTTCCTCTCCTGTGAAGTGGGGATAATGATAGGTCCTGCTCAGGGGGTTGTTTGAGGATCAAATGAAGTAATATTTGGAAAGCACCCAGGAAAGCAAGGCTTCATGTTGGCTCCTTTATGGTCATCCTTAGATAGGGGCCCCACAGCTGTGCACCCAGGCCGGGTCATCCTGCTGACAGACTGGCACCGTTAACGGCCTTTCTGTCCGCAGTTCCGTTCAGTGATGTTTTCCTCAAGGAAGGGGACTTAGATCAGAGTCTGCTTTGAATGCTCAAACAGGACAGGCCCAGCTCTGCTCAACTTTGGGCTGTCCAACAGCACCCTGCTGGGCCCTCATGTGCATGTCCAGTGATGAAGATAATTAACGTGGGTGTTTCTTGAGCACTTCCCAAGTGCTAGGCACCGTGTGCGAAAGGCATTATGTGCATTATCTCATTTAATTCTCCCAGTAACCAGGTCAGCTGGCTACCATGGTTACTGTTGTACAGTCAAGGAGACCGATTGGAGAACAAATAGAGCACCCAGTAAGTGGCGGGTGAGGGGGTACGGCACTGTCTGACTGAGGCAGAGCTCCAGCTCTTACCCACATCGTGCGGCGCAGTGACCTGGGCCACTGGTGGGCATCCCTGTACCTTGGCCCTGGCGCCCTTAAGTCAGGGAGCCCCCTCCTAGCCCTGGAGACTATTGACATGTGGCACATAGAATCTACTTCACCCTTAGTGACTTAAACATGGCACAGTGTATCCCCTTCTTGGGAGGTGGACAGGTGTAAAAAAAAAAAAACAAAAACCAAGCCACAAGTCTTGCTAAAAAAATTATTGTGACTACTTTGGCTTTTCCTCTGGCGTGGTTGGTATCTTCTATTCAACAGATAATAAATCTGTCCCATCACTGTGGACTAGATTTGGTTGCTCTGTATGTGTTGCCCTCTAAATGTAAGGCCACCGCTAACAGAGAAAGTACTTGATGAATGAGGACGGCTCTCTGGTGTGGAACCTGAAACACCAGCGTGTTAGTCCTTCTATCTCCCCTCGATGCTCTGGTGCTTCTTCAAACACAGCACAGTAGAACATGGTTCTGGGAATGGTTTCTGCATCCCTGGGGCAATCCCACACCAAAGTCAGCATTCTGAAGTAATATTAAAGACTTAATTGTTATCGAACGTCCTAGCCAAGGTATGAAGCCAGATACTGCGGCTGCAGGGCCTGCACTGGAATAGCTGTGCTAAATAACTCCCTGATTTTCTCGTCCAGTTTTGTAAACTAATGTTTAAACTAGACCTCAAAGAGGGGCCTACTCTACAGCCCTCTGACTCTTGCAGCTAAAGGGAAACAGCAACTGAGGGGTCTGCATCCATGGGGTGCCCATCAGAAATGGAATTATCCTGATAGAACATTCTCCTTCCCTGAGAGGGGATAGGCAAAGCTTGGCTTGACCCAGAAAGCAAACCCACGTAGGAAAAGACTCCCAGAGCACATGCTGCCTTCTGATGCAGACTGACTTTGAACACATCCCTGTGTTTTCTTGCTAGCTCCGTATGCAACATTGAAGCCACGTTAAGGCATGAGGGTCTCCTGCATCAGCTTTGGTGGTTCATTCCACTTTCTACTTGCAGGGGGAGGCACATGTGGAGGATAAGCTGGTGCAGGTGCATTTGGTCCTCACCTGCGCTCTGCTTTTGATGGCCCTTACAGCAAGGAGTGTGTGGCCAGGGAGGAGTTGAGAGGGTAGAAGGGCTGGGATTTCCCTGAAAGAAGAACTCCTCTCTGCCTCTTTTGGCCAGCTAACTTCTCATTTTGTGGTGCCCAGAGGGTTCAGCCGAAGATGGTGATGGAGTACTGGACAGGGTGGTTTGACTCGTGGGGAGGCCCACACAACATCCTGGATTCTTCTGGTAAGTGCTTTGCAGTACCTACACCCAGCATGTGACCTATGAAGTAAAAATCAGTTCCAAATAACGTGCTAATTGATGTAAATGAGCTGTAGGGTGCAAGGCTTCTGGGATTATCTGCATGTCATAGTCAGCTCTTGATATTCCAGACTCATGTGTCTTGACATTTGAAGTGAATGGTAGGACTCTTAACACTGCTTTATTATGTTTTGATAATTATATAGGCAATGCACACCTATTGCAAATATCCAGCAAATACAGAAAATGTAGGAAGAAGAAATAAAAACACCAGAGCCCAGAGAAAACACATACAGTTGACTTTTTTTTTTTTTAAGATTTTATTTATTTATTTGACAGAGAGAGACACAGCGAGAGAGGGAACACAAGCAGGGGGAGTGGGAGAGGGAGAAGCAGGCCCCCCACCGAGCAGGGAGCCCGATGCGGGGCTCGATCCCAGGACCCTGTGATCATGACCTGAGCCGAAGGCAGACGCTTAACGACTGAGCCACCCAGGTGCCCCAACAGTTGACTTTTGAACAGTGCAGCAGTTAGGGGTGCTGACCCCCCTGCACGCTTGAAGTCTGGGTATAACTTTTGACTCCCCCCAAACTTAATGATTAATAGTCTACTATTGACCAGAAACCTACTGATAACATGCAACTGGTTAACACATATTCTGTATATTGTCTGTGTCATGTACTGTATTATTACGATAAAACCAGCTAGAGAAAAGACAATGTTAATGAAGAAAACTGTAAGGAGGAGAAAATACTTTACAGCACTGCACTGTAAGAAATCATGTGTAAATGGAGCCGTGCAGCTCAAACCCATGTCATTCGAGGGTCAGCTGTATATTGTGCAGGCAGTTCTGTGTTTGTCTGCAGCCCTGCATGCACACAGAGATATGGATGCTCGTAGTCACGGCTGCTCTTTGTTACCTGCTTGTGCCCTGATTGACACGAATGAACAGCCTTCTATACTATTAGAGATTCCATCACTGTTTTTTTTTTTTTTTAAAGATTTTATTTATTTATTTGAGAGAGAGAATGAGAGACAGAGAGCACGAGAGGGAAGAGGGCAGAGGGAGAAGCAGACCCCCTGCTGAGCAGGGAGCCCAATGTGGGACTCGATCCCGGGACTCCAGGATCATGACCTGAGCCGAAGGCAGTTGCCCAACCAACTGAGCCACCCAGGCGCCCACCATCCATCACTGTTTTAAAGAGTGCAAAGAACCCTGTTGTATTGGTGATGAAACCACAATTTATTTAGCCACTCTCTTACTGATGAACAATTGGATGTTTCCAGTGGTTTTTGTTAATTGAACACCATTGCAGTGAACATTCTTGAACATCCAGTTTTGCAAATCTGGCATATTATTGTCCTAGGATAAGTTCCTAGCAATAGAATTGGTACATTAATTCAATTTTGATATATATGTACTAAACTGCTCTCTGGGAAGATTATAACAATTCTTATTAAATGAGAATACCTACTTTCCATAGATTCATCAACACTGAGTATTAAAATAATTTTTAATATTTGTCAATCTGATTGCCAATATGTATGTATGTGTGTATATGTATTAATACTTTATATTTCTCTTTTGATGTTATCTTTTCACATCTTTGGCTAATTCTTTAATAGAGGTGGGACTGGGGAGGTGGTTAGAAATTACATCTCCAATTAGGAGTCCAGTGACTCTTTGCATCTTACCAAGTGTAAGTGTTGAGAACAGTGGAGGTGGAAGGCTGCCATTGTTCAGATCATAGTCATTGGAGACTTGGCCATGATGGAACCAACAGCTGGAAGACTGCAGCTCGGGGGCTGTGGTGCTGGCCCTTTTCTCTTCATACACCTCATCTTCTGTGATTGCAGTTCTAGTGGAAGCTGAAGGGCAGAGCTATGGAGTTGAATTTGATGGGATTGGGGGGGGTGGTCAGGAAAGCTGAGAGGCCAACAAGGTTGTGACTTGTCCCAAGCTCTGACTCGCTCTGCACATCCCCTTTCTCCCCTCCTCCTGCAGAAGTTCTAAAAACAGTGTCTGCCATCCTCGATGCTGGCTCCTCCATCAACCTCTACATGTTCCATGGAGGTACCAACTTTGGCTTCATAAATGGAGCCATGCATTTTCATGAATATAAATCTGATGTCACCAGCTACGGCAAGTATTCCCCAACGCTGACCCTCCCTGGAACATCCCACATTAGCATGTCTGTGGCTTTTTATGCAGAGTCCTTTAGGGGCAGTGTTTGGCACCTTCAATGCATTTGGTTCTAGAGTGCCTGGGGAAGGGATGGTTTTGCCCGGATTATTACTTTTAAACTTTTAGAGCAGTAGGAGACTGAAGCCCACTCACATGCCTGTGAGTCTTTGGAAGTCTTTGGAGGAAATGAGAGGTACAGCCAGGATGAGGGAAGGTCCTTTGATGAGGGCAGCCTCTCCTCCCTACTCAGGTCCTTGAGATGTGTAACTCCTGAACCCTTTAGGTTGAGAGTCCCCTGAAGGTAGGCAAGATGCAGGAAATTGAGGGTCATGCCATGGCCATGGCACTTTTGGTGGAACTTTATAGTATTTAGTATTTATTGTATTCTGATTGATGGCTCATACCAGAAGTGTTCTGCCTCCCAAATTGCTGGGATGAGGACCTTGTTGCCATACCCCAGCTTCTCCCTTCTCTTTTTGCTGCTGTGGACACTGTCCTGTGACACAGGTGACCAATGACAGCATCCTGGTGTCTTGTAGACTATGATGCTGTGCTGACAGAGGCTGGGGATTACACAGCCAAGTACTTCAAGCTCCGAGGTTTCTTTGGCTCTATCTCAGGTACCTGACAGACAGCCGACTCAAGCACCAACTTGGGCCCTTGCTTTTGCTCTGAGACCCCTGAAGAATTACTTCTTCACTACCCCATCTCAACCCTAGTTGACCTATGTACAAGAATGTCCCTAGACAAGGACAGGCAAGTTTGGGAGACTGTTTTCATCATGGTTTGTGTGTCATCAGCTTTCCCTTTCTATGGGCATTAAGACTCCTGAAGATATGAGAAAGTAAAGTCCCCTGCACCCCCCCGCCCCCATGTTGCCTTCCTAGCAGGGCCAGGCGGTCTAAGAATGTTTCCCTCTTGGCTCTAGGATAAAGGAGCACATTGGGCCGTGGACAGGAGCCAGGGGCTGGGGAGGCTGGAGGTGGCAGTGACTTTTTGGGTCCTCTTGGGTTGGCCCTGTTGTCTGTGTTGCAGGTGTCCCTCTTCCTCCCCAACCTGACCTCCTTCCCAAGACTGCGTATGAGCCCTTGAGACCGAATTTATACCTGTCACTGTGGGACGCCCTGCAGTACATGGAGGAGGTGAGTGCCTTGGGGCAGGGAAGCGGGAGCAGTAGCTAGGTGGGCCAGTGGGGCTGTAGACGGAGAAAAACCAACGCTTGATAGCTTTGAGGTCCATTCCCTGACTTTAGAGCTCAGAGGAAAGAGCATAAACTTGTGCTAGAGTATGAACTGGGAAGGAACAAAAAGAATTTGAGGAAAAACTGGTTAACACAGTAGGTAGTCTCTCTCTCCAGCCTTGGTGGACAGGGAGGAAGGTGAAGAGGCACGTGAATGGGATGTATCCCCCCTCTGAGAAGAGGGTGCACCCCTGGAGCTGACCTAGTGGGGTGCCGTGATGCAGAAATGATGGTGGATTGAAAGTCTACAAATCTGGTACATCTCTGGGCTTCATTCCATTGCTATCACACATCTGCCTTCCCTGTGACCCTGGACAGCATAGGGCTAATAAGATGAGAAGTCAAAATCAGAATTTTGGAGCTTGAAGAGCCAATCAGCTGGATTGGCTCCCTATGTTTGTATAGTGAGAAGTCAAACTAGAAGAAAAGGTTAGAGGGCCTCTTCCCCCAAATCCCCAGTCCCAGGTGGGGATCTGTCTGCTACCTTGCACTCCCCCAGAAGGCTCAAGATGAGGTTGCTGCCTGTTTTCTCCTCTTCCTAGCCTGTATCTCCCCCTACTCTTCTCTATACAGCCAGTTAATTCTGAAAAACCAGTCAATATGGAGAACCTGCCAATAAACAATGGAAATGGACAGTCCTTTGGGTACACTCTGTACGAGACCACCATTGATTCATCGGGCATCCTCAGTGGTCTTGTGCGTGACCGGGGACAGGTAGGGGCGATTTCTCTTTTTTACAAAAATTATTTAAATTCAAATTAATTAACATATACTATATTATTAGTTTCAGAGGTAGAATTTAGTGATTCATTAGTTGCATATAACACCCAGTACTCACTACATCAAGTGCCCTCCTTTATGCCCATCACCCAATTATCCCTCCCCCACCCCCACCCCCCACCTCCCCTCTAGCAGCCCTCAGTTTGTTTCCTAGAGTTCAGCATCTCTTATGGTTTGTCTCCCTCTCTGTTTTCATCTTACTTTATTTTTCTTTCCCTTCCCTTCCCTTCCCTTCCCTTATGTTCATGTTTTGTTTCTTAAATTCCACATATGAGTGAAATCATATGGTATTTGTCTTACTCTAACTTGTTTTGCTTAGCATAATACACTCCAGCTCCATCCATGTCATTGCAAATGGCAAGTTGATGGCTGAGTAATATTCCATTGTACATATACACCACATCTTTATCCACTCATCTGCTGATGGACATCTGGGCTCTTTTCATAGGCTATTGTGGACATTGCGGCTATAAACATTGCGGTGCATGTGCCCCTTCAGATCACTACATTTGTATCTTTGGAAAATACCTAGTAGTGCAATTGCTGGGTCATAGGGTAGCTCTATTTTTAACTTTTTGAAGACCCTCCATACTGTTTTCCAGAGTGGCTGCACCAGTTTGCATTCCCACCAACAGTGTAGGAGGGTTCCCCTTTCTCTGTATCCCCGCCAACATCTGTTGTTTCTTGAGTTGTTAATTGTAGCCATTCTGACCAGTGTGAGGTCGTGTCTCATTGTGGTTTTGATCTGTATTTCCCTGATGTTGAGCATTTTTTCATGAGTCTGTTGGCCACTTGTATGTCTTATTTGGAGAAATGTCTGTTCATGTCTTCTGCCCATTTCTTGACCAGATTTTTTTGTTTTTTGGGTGTTGAATTTGATAAGTTCTTTATAGATTTTGGATACTAGCCCTTTATCTGATAAGACATTTGCAAATATCTTCTCCCATTTCATAGTTGCCTTTTAGTTTTGTTGACTGTTTGCTGTCCAAGAGCTTTTTATTATGATGAAGTCCCAATAGTTCATTTTTGGTTTTGTTTCTTTTGCTTTTGGGGATGTGTCTAGCAAGAAGTTGCTGTGGCCAAGGTCAAGAGGTTGCTGCCTGCATTCATCTCTAGGGTTTTGATGGATTCCTGTCTTACATTAGGTCTTTTATCCATTTTAAGTTTATTTTTGTGTATGGTGTAAGAAAGTGGTCCTATTTCATTCTTCTGCATGTGGTTGTCGAATTTTCCCAACCCCATTTATTGAAGAGACTTGTCTTTTTTTTCCATTGAATATTCTTTCCTGCTTTGTCAAAGATTAGTTGGCCTTAGAGTTGAGAGTCCATTTCTGGGTTCTCTATTCTGTTCCGTTGATCTGTGTGTCTGTTTTTGTGCCAGTACCATACTGTCTTGATGATGACAGCTTTGTAATACAGCTTGAAGTCTAGAATTGTGATGTCATCAGCTTTGGTTTTCTTCTTCAACATTACTTTGGTTATTTGGGGTCTTTTCTGGTTCCATACAAATTTTAGGATTATTTGTTCCAGGTCTGTGAAAAATGTTAATGGTGTTTTGATAGGAATTATATTGCTTTGGGTAGCATATACATTTTAACAATATTTGTTCTTCCAAGCCATGAGCATGGAATGTTTTTCCATTTTTTTGTGTCTTCCTCAATTTCTTTCATAAGTGTTCTATAGTTTTCAGAGTATAGATCCTGCATCTCTTTGGTTAGGTTTATTCCTATATATCTTATTGTTTTTGGTGTAATTGTAAATGGGATGAATTCTTTGATTTCTCTTTCTTGTGCTTCATTGTTAGTATATAGAAATGCAACTGACTTCTGTGCATTTATTTTATATCCTGTCACTTTGCCGAATTCCTGTATCAGTTCTAGCAATTTTGGGGTGGAGTCTTTTGTGTTCTTTACATAGAATATCATGTTGTCTGTGAAGAGTGAAAGTTTGACTTCTTTGCTGATTTGGATGCCTTTTCTTTCTTTTTGTTGTCTGATTGCTGAGGCTAGGACTTCCAGTACTATGTTGAATAATAGTGGTGATAGTGGACATCCCTGTCATGTTCCTAACCTTAGGAGAAAAGCTTTCAGTTTTTCCCCATTGAGGATGATATTCACTGTGGGTTTTTCGTATATGGCTTTTTGATATTCGGTATGTTCCCTCTATCCCTACACTGTGGAGCATTTTAATCAAGAAAGGATGCTTTATTTTGTCAAATGCTTTTTCTGCATCAGTTGAAAGGATCATATGATTGTTGTCCGTCCTTTTATTAATGCTGTGTATCACATTGATTGATTTGTGGATGTTGAACCAACCTTGCAGCCCAGGAATAAATCCCACTTGGTCGTGGTGAATAATCCTTTGAATATACTGTTGGATCCTATTAGCTAGTATCTTGGTGAAAATTTTTTTATCCATGTTCATCAGGGATATTGGTTTGTAATTTCCTTTTTTTGTGGGATCTTTGTCTGGTTTTGGAAACAAGGTAATGCTGGCCTCAGAGAATTGAGTCTGGAAATTTTCATTCCATTTCTATTTTTGGAACAGTTTCAGAAGAATAGGTATTAGTTCTTCTTTAAATGTTTGGTAGAATTCCACTGGGAAGCCATCTGGCCCTGGACTCTTGTTTGTTGGGAGATTTTTGATTACTGATTCAATATCTTTGCTGGTTATGGGTCTGTTCAGGTTTTCTGTTTCTTCCCGTTGCAGTTTTGGTAGTTTATATGTTTCTAGGAATGCATCCATTTCTTCCAGATTCCTTAATTTGTTGGCATATAATTGCTCATAATATCTCTTAGAATTGTGTGTATTTCTTCAGTGTTGGTTGTGATCTTTTCTCTTTCATTCATGATTTTATTTATTTGGGTCCTTTCTCTTTTATTTTTGATAAATCTGGCTAGGGGTTTATTGATCTTACTGATTCTTTCAACAAACCAGCTCCTATTTTCCTTGATCTGTTCTACTATTTTTTTGATTTCTATACGGTTGATTTGTGCTCTAATCTTGGGGCATCTTATCTCCTGTGACTTTGTGGTCATCAGGCCCTACCATATGCATCTGGCTCTCTCTCCTCAGTGCTCACATATCTGCCTGTTACCAGTGTGTAGAAATGGCCCATCACCATCAGCTCTGCTGTCCTTTTCAGCTACAGTCATGGGCATTCATTTTTCCTCTATGCCTGGCTAACCCTCATTTTCACTGCACACACATAATGTTATCCCTTTCTTTGCTTATGAAAGATCCCTCTTATGCCTCCCTCCTGTCGACCCATGGATGCTTTCTGTCTGTTCATTTGGCAGGTATTTGTGAACACAGTGTCTGTAGGATTCTTGGACTATGAAAGGAAGAAGATTGTTATTCCCTTGATCCAGGTTTGTTATCCTGGGGAGCTGGGTGATGGCTAGCACCAAGCTGCTTCCCGAGCAGGTTTGGTGGGAGTCAAAGAGGAAGACCTGGAAGACAGGAAGCTCCTTAACCACAGAGCTGCTGATGGAAAGAGGGGCAAAACATTGCTATCTGATCAGTGGGTACTCTTTCACCCCTATTCTCAGAGTTCAGGGAAGAACTGGGGTTCCACAAAGAAACTGTGAGGTGCAGCTGTGATCTTATGGCTGGGGAATCAGGTGGTCATCATCGACCACTATGTTCCTGGCAGGGTTACACCAGGCTGAGGATCTTGGTGGAGAATCGCGGGCGAGTCAACTACGGGGATAACATTGATGACCAGCGCAAAGGTGGGTCATAGCATGTGCTGAGAGAAGAGCTTCTAGTGCTCAGCAATGCCTGGCTATTTTTTCTTCAAACCAGCGCACCAGCTGGTCATGGAGGCTGACTGTAGTGAGGTGGAGTCATGGTGGCCCATTGGAGGGAATTGGGTTGTGGGAACCCATTGAAGGGAGGTGGGTCATGGAGGCCCACTGGAGGGAGGTGGTTTGTGGAGGCCCATTGGAGGGAGGTGGGTAATGGAAACCCATTGGAGGGAGGTGGGTAATGGAGGCCCACTGGAGAGTGGTGGATTGCAGAGGCCCATTGGAGGGAGCTAATTCATGGAAGCCTATTGAAGAGAGGTGGAAGTGGGCCTTCCTGAAAGGCCCATGTGGGTTCTGACCACATGGTTATGCATGTTGTCCACATGGCCATGGTGAACACACAGGGAACACTGAGCCAGCCTCTCCAGATCTCCCTGGGTTGTAGTCTGCTTTAGTAGGGAACTATCTGCTGGGGCTGGGCTGGGGTGGTGAGGCTTGAGGAAGGGGATTCCCAGGAAGCCAAAAAGGGCATACATGGGACCCCTGCCTTCTTGGGTCTCCACACTGAAGTTTTCTTTTCTTTTTTTTAGAGTTTTTATTTATTTATTTTAGAGGGAGAGAAAGAGAGCATGTACACATGTGAGTAGGGGGAGGGGCAGAAAGGGAGAGAATCTTGAGCAGATTATGCGCTGAGCATGGAGCCTGACACAGGGCTTGATCTCACAACCCTGAGATTATGACATGAGCCGAAACCAAGAGTTAGACACATAACTGACTGAGCCACCCCAGTGTCCCAGAATTTCTTTTCTTGATCCACTGTGGAAACCCACTGATGATCTCAGTTGTGGTGGGGAGGAAGAGGTAGTACCTGCAGTAAACAAAATGCTCTTGATGGAATGCTCCCCTAGGAATATCCCACCAACTCATTTTATTTTTCCTGGCCTTCTAAAACTTCTCTGCTTAAATTTGCCTCTTCCTTTTCATCTATCAAAATGTCGGTGGTTTCATGTAAGTTATAACATAAGAATTCAGACAAATAAATCCTACTATGGTAAGGGATACTGGTGACCTCCCAACTCTCTCATGGGTGTTTGCCTTTGTAATGAGGAAATTTGTGCATCCCTTCCTTTCCTGCCTGGGAAACGCTGTAGCCCAGCCATTGGGGGTTTCTTGGGTCTTGGGGTTTGGCCCTCTCCAGATAGGCCTCATGGTAGCTTCTAGTACTGTCCAGGCTTATCTTCCTTTTCTCCTAAAGAATCCCTCAGTGTTCCTCTCTGGATATTGGCTTCTTCCCCTAGGAGCTCCATCTCCAGGCCCATCTTCACTTCCTTTGCTCTCTTGTGGGCAGGAAGGGATTGCCAGGCTCACCCCGTTCTCAGTCTTTGCCTCTCCAGGTTCCTGAGTAAGATGTGCCCTGGACTCTCACTGTGGAGTACTTATCCCCTAGAACAGTTCAGTGTTTATAAGTCAAAGAGCTCCCCCCGCCCCACACCTGTACCTGTAATTTAAGAGTCTGTAGGCTCTATGAAACCTGTTTGCACTTCCCAGCCTATTCAGATTCCCTCTCTAGCAATTCAGCAGCTCCATGATTGTGAGGGCCATGGGAGCTGCTCCAGGACTAACATTGCTGGCCCCTTCCCCAAGGCACTAGCTAATCACTATGCAAGTGCGTGTGGGTCCTCAGACTTGCATACCCAAGTCATATTGCCATCTGTTCACAATTTAAATACTTAATATATCTTTATTCCTAGGTCATGTAGAAGATTTCTGGCTGAATTATTAGGTCTGTTCAGTCTGGGACCCTACTGAATCTGATCTTGAAGCTAAGTTAGAACTGCTGTGACCTCTTGATTATCTGCCCTTTGGGACTCATTTTAGGCCCCAAAATGGAGCTTCCCCTTCAGAGAAAGGCCAGAGATTATTCTCACCCAATGACATTCTCAGCTCCCATTACCCTCAGATGTAGTCTTCTATGCAAATCCTAGGGAGGTCCTGGCAAACACTGCTGTTACTAATTCTTTTCTCCTTTGGGATTTCTAGAGAAGGTTTTATGCCATATGAAGAGCTCTGTAGGGAGTATATACTTCTGGAGGAACCCTCACTGAAACTTTTCAGAAATTCTCCATGTATGTGCAGGGCCTTAGCTGGGTCAGCTCTGCCCCTGCCTCTGACCTCATTCATCTTTCCTTGACTCCTTCCCACAGGTTTAATTGGAAATATCTATCTGAATGATTCTCCCCTGAAAAAATTCAGAATCTACAGCCTGGATATGAAAAAGAGCTTCTTTCAGAGGTGAGTCCCCACCGCATGAAGTGTTTGAACCCATGGATAAGGTGCAGTAAGAGGCAGGAAGGCCCAGAGAACTGCTCTGCCCTAGCCCCTCCCACTCTAGTGTAAACAGACCCAGAACCCAGAGAAACTTGCCCAAGTTAGGAGGGGCAGTACCAGCACTAGAGACTAGGGAATTTCCATGATACCCTGGTTAACAGGTGGGGGTGGGTGAGGGTATTTGGAATGCCTTTGTAATTAGATTCAGGACAGGTCCAAATCTGAGAAAGTGCCCTCTTTTCTTTCTTGTGTTCCATTCTGTTCATAGGTTCAGCGTCGACAAATGGAGCCCTATCCCTGAAGTACCTACGTTCCCTGCTTTCTTTTTGGGTGCCTTGTCTATTTCCCTTTCCCCTTTTGACACCTTCATGAAGCTGGAGGTTTGTAGTCCCCTCCCTGCCTGGGCTCTCCGGTCTTCCCTCAGAGAGCTCTGAGCCCAAGCCCTGTACCTGTCCTTGCTGGAGCCCTCTATACCACTTGCACCCAGAGATTCTCTGTTTTGCCCTCTCTGAAGGGCACCTGGGGCCTCCCTGGGGTGGGGGAGTGGATTCAGATCAGAAGAACCACCTGGTGGTAATTCTCAGGGTCCAGGTCTGCTCTTGGGTACCTTGCTGGGGAGCTCAGAGCTAGTGGATTCAGGAGATAGAACACCCTTGTGTTAACCTCATGGCTGTTGAAATACTCATTCACACTGGTATCTTGGAAGCTGAGAGAAGCACTCATGGCATGTGTCTGTCTCTGTCTTCCGATGTGACTTTATATTCGGTGGCTGTCATGGTCAACTAATCCTTTTCCCACTCTGCTTAAAGGGCTGGGAGAAGGGGGTTGTATTCATCAATGGCCAAAACCTTGGACGCTACTGGAACATTGGACCCCAGGAGACCCTCTACCTCCCAGGTGCCTGGTTGGACCAAGGCACCAACCAGGTGGGAGCACTTGCAGCTTCTTCCCTCGACTCAGCCCTCCCTGGTATCACAATGTTTTCCTGGGGGCGGGGTTCAGGTAACAGTCTATTTAGGCTCATTACGGTAGGAGATGGGGCAGAAGGCTTAGCCAGCCCCTTCTGCATTCCTCCTTGGTGATGAGGAGTTGTGGGTCCCTGTTCCTTCCAGTGTGGCTCTCAATCCCTTCCCCTAAGGCACCCTCATCTGGCTCCAAGACCAACCTTTGCTGCTGTCATACACCAGCCCTTCTCTCCCCCAGGTTATTGTTTTCGAGGAGAAGATGGCAGGCCCTGTGATACAGTTCACTGAAACACCCCACCTAGGCAGGAGCCAGTACCTTGATTGAGCAGCACCGCCCCGCACCCCCTGGTGGCGGGAAGCAGGAGAGCACCACTGTCCCCCTCAGCTGACCGGAGCCTGGTGCTCTGCTCCCTCACACCCTCCCACGCAGGAGAGTTTCCTTAAGTAGCATCCTCAGGCAGCCATGTGGCTACAGCAAGGCCCACTCGTTCAGTTCAAGACCCTAAACTTGGAAGAACTGAAGAAGAAAAGTGGGATAGGAGGGTGGGACGCCCTCCTTACCTAAGTGGCTTTAAAAAAAAAAATTATTGTTATGTTAATCACCATACATCATTAGTTTTTGATGTCCTAAGTGGCTTCTTGACTGGGCTTTGTTGCTGGCACCTGTCCTACTTCCCTTCTCTTCTGGGAGAGGACAGAGGGATGCCTCTCTAGGGTAGGAATGTCTAATCAGATGTCCACGTGATGATGCCTGGGGCCCTCAGTTGGGCATAACTTCTAGACACAGGTTTGCTCCTATGATGTTCTTGCCTGTGCTCAACCACGCCCCTCCTGGCCCCTTTTCATCTGAAATAGAAGGTTTGTCACCATTTGTAGAGGATAGGGAAGCGGGTGGGTGTCTCACCTGAATCATCTTTGTTCCTCTCAACCCTCCCCAAGCCTTCTCTGGGATTCTGGAAGAAACTCTGAGAGACACACACATTTTCTCCTTCTCATTTTCCACTCTAATTGCATCTGACAGGATGACAACCCAAGCTTAGGAGAAACAGAAATACTCAGCCACTTAGTTTCCTGAATTAGAGAGTATTCCCAGTTTAACTCAATGAGAAGAAGCATCAGCTGAGGAGGGAATGCAGACCCTAGTAAGAACCACACCCTGGTCTGAAGGCCCAGCTCTGGGGGCACGGGCAGGTAGTCTCCCCGGAATGTTGGTGTAGCCACGGGGCCCACAGGCCTAGTCCAGATCTTGCCTCCAGCTCAGTCTCTCTCCCTCAACTCCCTGTAACTAAGCAGCAGGGAGGAGAAGCAGCCTTCCTTTGCAGTTGTCTGTCCAAATTTGAGGCGCTTGTTCTGGGGATTGAATCCACTGGGTTAGCTCTGGTTCCCTGTCCTGAATTGCAATAAAGCAACAGAGTTGAATCAAACCCTTTTTGGTGATACTTTCCTGGTCCCGTCTGTGCCCCTGTTTATCACAGGCAAAGGCATCGTGGGGTCAGGTACCCACTTAGCCCATCCGGCACTCAGAGTCTAGACAGACTTGACCCAGTTAGTGGATGATCCAGCCCCTGTCTCCTTACCACCTCCCTCCCGACCTTCATTCTGCCTGAAATGTCATCGTGAATCGGCAGTGCCCTTGGGGAGGAGAAGTCCTATACAGATCTGTTCTGGTGCTGGTAGGCAGGTGGTAAGAATCTGCTGGACAGCCAGGAGCTCTCCATGTGAGGTAGCGGGTGAGTTTTCCTCAATGTAACATCTGGATTGCACTGCCACAGACTCTCTTCAGTAGTAATCGAAGTTAGATAGCCAACGCCTCCTCGGAACACTGCCTGTGCTAGGAGCCCATAAAGACCTTTGGGGAATAGCAGGCCTTGGAGGCTCCCAGCAGCCCTATGGCTCCCATCTAGGGCCTGCCTAAGGAAGGGGGCGTTTGTAGTGTGTGGCCACTGGGCCCAAGAGCTGAGCCTGGGTCAAGGACAGACAGCTGGGCCCAAGGGTCCACTAGGGGCAGAGAAATGGAGCTTAGGAAAGTGAGTTTCATGGATGGGGGCTGGGGAGCCAGATACAGGTAAGTCCCCAGTCTTGCTCAAACTCCTCTGCTGTTCCTGAATTGCCTTGGAACGGAAGGCACACAGCTGACACTCGGATGAGACCAGGGCTCGGGCATGGCCGGCACTGGGGAGTGTGTCATCGCACCTTACTTTACACCTGAGCATGATTTTACAAAGGTGTACGTAAAAGCTGGCTTCTGTTGGAAAATGTGATAGGGCACTGGTGTTTAAATGAATCTTACGGTGATCCTTTTGCAAAGTGAAGAATCCCCTTGAATTGCTTTCATCCACATCTGTGCAGGGCTGCATTGGTCCTCTTGCACCAACTTACTGTTCTTGACCTTCTTATCTGCCAGCTGACCCTGCAGCTTCTGTCAAAGCCCCTTGGCAGAGCTCGTCTTCCAGAGTTTATTCATGGTTTGTCCAGACCTTCCTACTGGATGGCCTCATCACAGAGTCTTTAGAAGACTCCTCATAACCCTTACCTCTAAACGCTGAAGGTCTCCAGGCCTGCTCCTTGGGCCTTTTCTTCCCTCTGTCCACACTCACTGTGGGGGGGGCCTCACTGACTGGGGGGTTTGTAAATAGCCTCAACATTCATGCTCTCTGATGTTTTTCTCCATCCAAGCTCCAGGCCCACTCACAGTCCACTCACCTTCTCTCCTGCGTGTGACACCAAACTCCGATGACTCCCCCGTGATCCCTCCTGCACTCCGCCCTGTAGCACAAAATGGCAGTTCTATTCTGTGTCTCAGATTCGTTTTGGCTCCTCTCTTTCATATTGCATAGCCACTCCATCAGGTGATTCTCCTGGCTGTACCTCAGACACGTCCAGAACCTGACCACTTGTCTCTGCCCCAAGGTTTGCTCTTCTGACTCACTGTCCTCTCCTGCCTGGATCATGGCAGGAGCGGCCTCCCCTAGCCTACCCTGCTCTCTGTTTATCGTCAGCACAGGAAGGGGAGTGATTTCTTTACAGGCCAGTTAGATCGTGTTGGTCCTTTGCTCCAAACCCTCCCATGGTTCCAATTCCCTTTTCCCTCGGGGGAGAAGCCGAAAGCTTTGCCCTGGTTCCCAGGGCCAACGTATTCCGCACCCTCCACCAACTGCGTCCATCCCCCCTCCCATCCTACCTCCCCCATCTTGCCAGTCACTTGCAGGCACACTGGCCTTTTTGCTGATCTTTAAACATGCTAAATACTCTCTGCATGGGAGCGAGTTCTTTTCTGGAAAGCTCTGACCAAAGTAACTGCTGCACTACTCTGTCCCCTTATCAGGGAAGCTCTTCTTACGGTCCTGGGGCAGGGATCAGCTCCTCCTCAGCTCCACTCTGACACCGGCATCCAGCTTCATACTTCTCCTTAGACCAGATCGCATCTGAAATACTGTAGATTTGCCTAGTGTCCGTGTGTCTCGTTTCCCAAGGAGGGAAGTTCCATGAAGCCAGTGCTCTGGTTTTTTGCTGCTCTGTCCTCGCTCCTAGAATCATGCCTGCCAAATAACTACTTGTTGGATGGTTAAAACAGTATATGAGAATAAGGCATGGCTACGGAGGGTTAGGGCTGTTAAAAACCATGTCTGACTTTTAATTTTGGAAACAAATTAAATACAGTTAAATTAAAACCGACCAGATGGTGCAGCTCCTTCGGCTCCGTTCTCGGGGCTCTGAGCCCCCAGCCTCACTCCTTTGCGGTGGGGGGCAGGAACAGACTGGGTCTGGGAAACAACTTGTAGTCATGGACCCAACTCTGATTTGGAAAAAACTCTTTCCCAACAAAGATGAAAGCTGCAGTCCACCAGGGTTATAATTATAAATAAATACACATGCAGCTAAGAGAGGCTATTAGGTGAAAACAACGGAAATAGCATCCGCCAAAAAAACAAAAACAAAAACAGAGAGAGGGAGGATATCCCATTTTGTTGTTCATTATCGATTTCCTGAAAAATGAGCCCTGGGTTTTTGGCTAAGAAGGTGGCCTAAGACCAGCCAGGCTGACCTGAGCATTCAGGGCTGGTTTTGGTGAGTGAGGCAGTGCCGTGCCTGGGCATAAATTCACTCGTTTGGGGGGTGCCCTGTGCACACCTCCTCCCTCCCCTCCCACGCCACCCCACTTGGTTCTGAGGGGTTGATTCCAGAGCCACCATTGAAAGTGTAAGAGGCTGGGGAACGTCCTGCAAGGTGGCTCAGGGTTCTCAGGGATGCGATCCCGTCGGGTGGTTTCACGAATGCCGTGGGAAGTTAAATCCATTTCAAAATTGGCAGCCAATGCTATTTTTTGAATGTTAGGTTGCTGGACTGAATCCTACCCACCCACCCAGGAATGGGTTCTCAGCGGTCCTCAGACCGGTTCTGTGAGTTTAAACGGAGTGGGGGCTGTTAGCCTTAAAAAATAAACACCTCTTCAGTAGGCTCGGGCCTTTCCTTTTCCTGGGAGGGAAATTGTGCTTCCAACTTTCAGGAGCATGAGTGAGAGAATCAGAAGAGGGCTGTCTCTGTCAGTGGCCTGTCCTGGTGCAGGAAGCAGTACATGCACACTGTTCTTTCTCTGGGGGGGCGGAGGGGGAGAGGGGACAAGCAGCAGCCTTGTTCCTCGTGCTCCCAACTCAGGGACAACCGAGGTTTTCATTCCCATTTTATGTTTAAAATAGAATGATTTCCAAAGTAGTGTGTGCTCAGGTCTCCTTTCCCCTCAGGGTCCAAATGATCTCTGCCCCTTTTCCACAAATCCCTCTGTTAACCCAAAGCCCCCATCCCCTGCAACCAGGGGCAGAAAGGAGTATGGAACTGCCCCTGCCTCACTCCTCTTTCCACCTTGCCCCCCCGGGCTCACTTCAGCCCCTGAGGTCTGTGGTTCTCAAGAGCTCTGGAAAGAGGGCTCCTGGCCGCCCCAGTCCCAGCCCAGGCAAAGGGCTCTGGGGCCCAGTGGGCAGGGGGGAGGCAGTGTGTAGATTGGGGCCTGCATGGTCTTAGTCCAGGTCAGTCCATGACCTGTGCTGGCTCGAGGGCCCACCTCCTTCTCTGTGCTGGAAGGAGCAGGTTTGAGGGATGTGTGGCCAGAGTAAGGGGCTCTACTCCTACCACAGCCTGGGGTATGGGGGAGCCTGATGGCAGGCCCAGGCTCCCCTCATGCAGGGTGGTCGCCTGTTGGGATCAAAGACAGCCTTATGCTCTGGAAATAGGAACCAGAGGAAAGCCAGAGAGGTATGTCTACTTGAGAACAGCTCTCTGAGGAGGGGAGGGGGTGTTCCTGATGCCTGGGCAGGGGGCTGCTCTCTGGTCTTCAGAATTCCCTGGCCGGATGGCCTTTGCGGTCATGCTGGGCCCCAGGAGCAGGGAGCCAGGGAAGGCCACACTGCACTGGACATCCGGGGTCTTTTCACCTCTCTCCCAGCCTGGCATCACTCCAGGGCTTCGGTGCCCACTGTGTCTGCTCCCGCAGGCCCTGTCAGCGTGGGAAGCTCTGGGGAGGCATGCTGGGGCACCGGCTTGCTGGCTGGCATGGCTCGACTAGCAGCTGGGCCCCTGGTCGTGCTGGATGGAAGAGAACAACAGGTCTGGGATTTCTGTGCTTTAGGTTCTCCGTCCTTTGTCCTGGCATCAAGCTGGGCTCTCTCTGAAGCCCTCAGGATAGAAAGGAGGGTGATGGTGATTCCTTAGGAGTTTGCCTCGGAGGGACCATCAGCCATGGGAAGAGGATGGAAGGCCAGGAACAGGGTCTGAGAAGGAGGCTCCTGTGAAGGGGAGAGGAGGAATATGGGTGAGGCATGAAGAGGGGAGGCAGGTGAGGGGCAGCCAGTCTGGCCAAACTGCCCAATCCTGAGCCCCCATCAGAGTTCACCCAGGAGCTCCGCAGAGCCCAACCCCTAGGGTCCTCTGTGGATCCCTTATTGCGAGGCGGCTGGGTTCTTCCAGTGACCAGGTGAGGAGGCAGGGAACGGGGCTCTGTACTGGTGTATTTTCAGCAGCACTGGTCAAGCTGATTTTCTGGTTCAGGGCACAAAGCAGGCCGACGGACACCCTGTGGTCTCCTGTGGGCAGGGCAGTGGCAGACATGATAGGGACACTGAAGCTTAACTCTGGGGCCGGAAGACAGATACGTATTCCACTGTCTGAGCTCCCACCTCTGTGACGACATTATAGAAAAGCCCATAGACAATTCCTGACTTGGAAAACCCGCTGGCACAATTCACTTTGTTTAGCTTTTCTGAACACCATTTCTTTACCTCTAAAATGTAGATAGGTCCTGTGGCCTACTTCAATAGAAAGTTTTATTTATTTATTTATTTAGTTATTTATTTTTTATTATGTTATGTAAATCACCATACAGTACGTCATTAGTTTTTGATGTAGTGATCCATGATTCATTGTTTGCGTATGAATCATGGAACACTACAAAAGTTTTTATTAAAGACTCAATTAAAAATAGCAACACTTATATAAGACTCCTTGTGTACCAAAGATTGTTCCTGGTGCCCCCAACAGCCCGTTTTACAGACCAAGAAACTGAGACCTAGAGGAAGAAAGTAAAGTTAAAGGGTGAAAAGTGGTAGGCCTGGAGGCTGAACTAGGCTCTGGGGTCCGTGCTTTCACCCCTGCACTACACGGTTACAACTAAGAGACACATGGACGTGCTTGATGAGGTAGAAGCAGTGAGTGAGGGGTCCCTGTCACAGCAGCATGGCGGAAGACCACGGGAAGACAGAGCCTAGGAGAAAGCGTGCACATGGCAATGCCTTGCAACAGGACCGGTGTCATGGCCAAGATAATAGCAGTAGTGACAGGAGGTTGTCATGAGGCCATGTCTAGAAGGTGAGGCCTTCAAAGTTGCTGGTGGCAGAAGGACCCAGCTATGTGGGGCAAGTTGGCTCCCGTTAACTTCCAGGTGGCACAATGGGACGGGGACTTCAGCTATGCCCTTTCCGCTCTTGCCCCCCTTTGCCCTGACCTCCCACAATTAAAAGCCAAGAGGAAAAGCCTCGGCAGATTTATTCTGCATCCCAACTTGATGTGCCCTTGCCTCGTGTATGGTTTACCCTCATCCCTGCCATACCTGTATCCTGGAGCTCAGATCTCCACAGTGGGGTCAGTGAAGCCTTTCTTCCCCTCATTCACCAGCACCGGCTTCTCCGTCCGTGTGTGCCAGACCAGGATCTGTGTGTCCAGAGACATGAAACAACATGGGGCAGGCCCTCCTGACCTCAGCCTGCCACCTCCCTGTTCACTCCCACGCTCCGCAAGTATTTTTCCTGCCCCTCCTGTCCTTGTTCCATCAAGATTTTCTCCATTGTTCTTTATTTTTACCTAACCCCCCATTCTTGCTGTTTATACATAAATGATGCATTCAAAATATCTGTTGGAAACAAAAAGTGCGTAGCTACAGAAGATAGACAAGTCAGTTCCAAGATCTCCTCTTGCTTTTCGTCTTCCCCTGTTTCTTCATAGGTCTCTCTAGAGAGGGAGGAATTTTCAGGAGGCTTTGGCTCAGCCAAGTGATAATTCAGGCCCTAGCTGGAGAAATCCAAACTAGAAGCAGTGTGTGTGTGTCTGCGTGCATGCATGCATGTGTGTGCCCGGCTGTGTGTGCATGCACCCAGGCAAGCATGTGTTTGTACATACGTGAACACTTGTCTGGTAGGGTGGTCGTGGAGCCTAGCTCTTTTGAGGTTTGGGAGGGAAGGCAACCCTTGGCCCTGCTCACTGACCACCACCCTCTGTATTTCCCTGCCTGACTTTAGTGTGATGGCCTCTGACAGGATAAACTACCTTCCTGAGGAAGGCATGGCTCTAGGCTGGTCCTTTGCAGGGCTGTTTTGAGGTCTTTATTTCCTTCCCTCTGATCTGTAGGAGGATTTGGATGGGCTGGAAAAAGCTTGCATTATAGTCAGTTCTGGGAGGGCTTACCTTGGTGCAGTTCGCTGCCTTGGGCTCCAGGTCATTGAGGGTAACAAGTTCTCGGAGGAGGCTGCTTTCCTGGTAGCCTCCTTTCACGCCACGCAGCTTGAAGTAGGCCTGGCTACGCTGTAGAATGAGCCTCAGGTTGACGGCAAATCCAGCCATGTCTATTGCAAATGGTCGGTGCGGGTCGAACACTGTCTTCCAGCCGACCACCTTCCCTGCCCCATTGACCCGTGGGGCCTCGTACCGAAGGCCACCAACGAAGGCAACGGGCCACACAGACACCCTCCTGGTGCTGCGCATCTACAAGAGGGGATCCAGAGTCAGGACACGTGGGACTGCTGATGGGGAATGGAGTCTGGCCCCAGAGAAGGGGAAATCGATGAGCTCTATGCAGACAGGCCATCTGAAGCTGTACCAGGGGATCCAGCCCAGCCCTGTCTCCAGATGCATTCTCCATGGTGGGCATCTACAGGGTAACCTGCCTCACTGTGGACAAGGCCTGACCTCTCACCCAGCTGACATGCTGCTTCTCCACAAGACTTGGCAGCCCAGCTTTCTCTCCTGCAAAACCTCCATCTTCCCAATTTAGAATCTAAAATGACTCCTTCCCCTGCCCCAGGCTCCCATGACTCACAAACCCCAAGAACGGAGAAAGCGTGTTCCACATAGAATCTAGACCCCCTCGAGGCCTTCGCTGAGACAGTACCTCTAAGGCAAAGACTTTGGTCTAAGAGCTCCACCACCCACTTTCTTCCCTTTAACCAGGGATGACTGCTGAAACTTGCAGCGAGTTCTTTTCCATCCCTTTCCTGGTTCCCTGCAGTCTACACTGACCCCAGTTGGCACCCACCCACCCCCACCCCAACCCTATGGTTTCTCTATGTGCCCATTCCAAGGGGCCCCACACCAGAGGCCCTGCGCCGGCATCCTCCCGCCCCTTCCCCGCCTTCTGCCTGGTCCCACACCTCCTCAAAGAGCTCCAGACTGTAGGTGTTGTCGTCGTCGGCGAAGTACACCACGCCGGGTTGGCTGGAGTTGCGCGGGAAAGTCTCGCGCAGCCAGCGCAGGGCCAGGTTGCGCTGCATGGTGCCCCGCGGGATGCGCGGGTCGCGGGCGTCGCCGCGCAGCTTGTAGTTGCGGGGCGTCTCCACGTGCAGATGCGTGTAGTTGAGGCCGGTGTCGCGCAGCAGGCGCGCGGTGAGCGGCGTCCGGCGCGGCGCGTCCTCCACCACCAGCCAGTGCAGGTTGGGCACGTGCAGCAGCGTGTTGGCCATGCGCGTCAGCTCGGCCTTCTGCACCGGGCGGCTGTAGGTGGGCGTCACCACGTGGATGGTGGGCAGCGTGTCCGACCACGGCGGGGGCCGCGTGTACACGTACTCCGTGCGCACCACCTCCACGATGTCGCGGTCCGACATGCAGTACTCCCTGGGGTCGGCGCCCGGGGGCGCATCGCGCCGGGGGTCGCTGCCGTCATCTGTGGGGTTGGGAGACACACGGTGTGGGGACCGGCCGTGCAGGCCCGGCTCTGGCCTCAGGTACTGGGCCGGAGGCCACCCACCCTGCTAAGACGAACCGCTCCGCTCCTTCTGCAGGATTGTCGTGGGAAACCTGCCTGGGGCTCTAGCTTGTAAGCTCACCCAGAAAGCCGCATCTCTGGAATGCTCTCGGGCATTTTCCTAGTTCTGACTCCCGAAATGACACAGAAATAACCTCTCCCTCCTTCTCACATTTGACAGCTCTGTAGCTATTTGAGTGTGGCTGGCCAAGTTCCAAGGCTGCCTTCTCACTTCCTAAATGTGTTGGGTTTTATATGACAAAGTGTCCTGACGCTTCCCACCCTAGAGCCCTCCCCATCTGCCTGCACTTGCCACCCCCGCGGCCCCGCCCAGGACTGGGGTTGCCCAGCACCACGGCACTGCCACCCATACCGGTGTAGATGCCACAGGGCCCAAGCGCAGTGTTGGGGCTTTCCTAGACGCGGCACACTGTGCACCCCATGAGCCTGAGGGTGGCTCAGCCCGATTTTTCACAAGTTTCTACTTAAGTGGGGCCTCTCCCTTCCTGGTCTTAGGAGTCTTGGTGCAGAATTTCATACTTAATTATCACGTTTTCTTCCAGGGTCGTGCCTATAGTTGTCAAGATAATTTTGAATCCTGAACCCGTTGTTTGTACTTTTAGATGTTCTTAAATTTTAGCCTACACAAGAAGACAGAGCGGGAACCTGTTTTAGCTCTTCTGTTGCTTCGATGTCAATCTCCTGATCTGTTCTTTTGGACTCATCCAGCCTTTTGGGAGACTAACTCGACCACTGACCCCAACTGTGCTAACATCCAGCTAGTGTTTATGCATTACTCCCCAAGACACCATGAGGGGCGGTGTGTGGGACGTTGTGGAGTTCTGGCCTCTGGTGAAACACTCACAGTCCTGGGGAACCCATTCCTCCCTGAGGGCAACCTGTTTCGGTTGGGGCAGCTCTAACCAAGCTTTTTCTAGATCCTGGACATCTTTCTCATTACTGACGCTAGTAGTTCTGTCAAGAGGAGAAATCAACAGCATTGGTATTCTTGTTTTTAATGAGCCCCTCCTCTTCAAGTTCTGTCTTTCTGTTTGAACAACTCTGTGGCCCTCACTGCTCTTACAGCATCTCAGCAGGAGGTGGTACGGGTCAGAGGACATACCTAGGAATGTGAGTGCCCAGGCTCAGACCCTGTCCAGTTCTATCACTTACTATTGCCCTTGGGCAGGTCACTTAGCTTCTGGTGCCTCAATGTTAGCAACTGCAATATGGAGCCAATAATAGAATTAACTTTATTGAGTTACTCTATGGATTGAGTCAATAGATGTAAAGGACCCAGAACACTGCTAGGGAAGACAGTTGCCAGCCCTACATCTGCATGGCTTCATGCAGCCGGAGAAGAGCATTCTCACCATTGGGTAGAAGTATGGTTCCAGGGAGGATGCTGGGAATCAGCCATTCTGTCACCTCCCTTCCTTCCCATCGCTGTTCTTTGCAGATGGTGTGTGTGTGTGTGTGTGTGTGTGTGTGTGGTGTTCGTATGAGGTGTGCCACTGGGCTCTGGGAGGAGGTACAGATGAACCCAGAAGACCGGCTCTGGGCTCTTGGGGAGTTCACATAGGCCAATGGCACAGTAAGACATACAGCGATAGTGAGGAGTCTGCACCACGGAGGGAGACACACTGCCCCCAGGGGTGTGAATGCTCAGCCTCTGTTGATCAAAGGTGACTTTTTGGAGGGGTTTTGGGGTCAAACTGGGAAAATGTAACAGAGTTGAGGAAAGAGAGGTGGATGATGGGGATTCTGACCAAGATATATATAAGGGTTTATTTATCCTGCAGTCAGTGAAACTGAGGCCTGGGAAGAAAGATTCAGAGCCATCTTCCCCACCTTTCTTCCATTCAAGTCCTCCCAAACAGGCGGGTCTGGGCCCTGGGAACGTTCTCCATGCCTTCTGACCTGGCCACAGCGTGAGCTTAGCTCTTTGTGCTGGCTCCAGGGCTTCTGCAACCTTTGAGTCACAAAGGCCTCCTGGCCACCCTGACATGATTTCACTGCAGCTTTCCTTCAGCCCTCTTGGCATACTCTGAGGAGACAGAACGCCAGCTCCCCATCCTCAGGCACTAGCATCAGTGCTTAGTAAAACATTCTGACACCTCTGACCCTAGAGCTCTGCCAAGAATGGAATCCACATGATACTATGTCACTTGGTATATGGTAGCTTTAACCCTTCTGGAATGATGTAGTTGTAGGATAACAATTCCAAAATGAAGAGCACCAAAGAGAGAAGTTGGAGGATAAATGTCAGGAGAGGCTCTAAGTGCCCAGCATTGGACAGTGGGAATTCCTTGATCTTCAGCCTGGAAAATCTTCATGGAAGCTTCAGAAACTGCTGGGGCTGAGCAGGACCCACTGCATAACTGTGGAGCAGCCTGCCTTCTGACTATGATTCTTGACTACTGCCAGCATCCAAATCACTCGGGGTTACGAGCTACATGTGGATTTGCAGGCCCTACTCCAGACCCATCCTCTCTTTCTCTGGGATGGGCCTGGGTGCTTTTGTATTTTATCCTGTAATATGATGCACGTTTCAATAGGAGAATTGCTGCCTTAGAGTACTGAGTCTGTACGTGCATGGAGTACATTGGAGGGCAGATGAGAGCCCAAAGAATGAGGGGGTAGGCCATATATGGGGCACATGGAAGGGGCCAGGGTATGGGGAGCCCCGTGTGAGAAGGAAAGGCAGCCTGGTGGAGGGGAAAACTCCGGACTCAGAGCCAGAAGAACCTGGCTCCAGCCTGTTCATCCATGAGTGCTTTGTGGGACTTTTTCTCTAGCCGGGCCTATTTTCACTAGGTAGGATTGACTAGGTTAGGGTTCCTAAACAGGAAAAAGGAGGAAACAATATGCTCTCCCTGAATGGTTTTAAAACACAGGCCAGAAACCCTGTCCATCCTTATCCTTCACTACCCACAGCTTAGAGCAAACAGTCCTCACACATCCTGAGACTGGATGCAGAGTTGTGCATGTGTGTGTCTCTGGGCATACATGTGTGTGGTGGCTTTCACCAGATTCCCGAAAGCACCAAGACCTCCATAAAAGTAAGGTCATTGGCCTGGACCATCCTATGGCTCCTCTCAGCTGCCTCATAAATGAAAATATGAACTCCATCAGTGTTGGTGTGGGCATTCTTATGACAGAAGCCTGGCCGGGGCTGGGGCCGGAGGTTGGGGGGCTCACCCTTGTGCGTGGTGAGCAGAGGCGCAACGGTGCTCTGGTGCCACACGGTGACTAGCAGCGTCCAGGGCAGTACGATGAGGACGATCGCAAGGATGTCCCGTCTTTTCGGCATCTCCAAGGCTGGCTGGGCCCACAGCTCCTCGTTACCTGAGCGGTGGCAAGGTCAGGAGAAGGGCGGCCCCAGGGGCGATGGCGGCAGACAGTGGCGAGCACAGGGGAGAAAAGAACAGGAATGGGCCGGGCAGGCCAGGCACAGGGAGAGCAGAGAAGCCGAATGTTGGCTAGCAGATCTTACCAGCACTCACAACCCACCCATTGCGGAAGCAGGTTTGCAGAGTCTGGCCAGACCGGAGACCGAGAAGGGGTGGCTGTCCAAGGGCATGATCAGGAACCCTGTGAAGTGGACACCTGCAAGAGAGAGCAGAGCAGGATGGCCAGAGACCTGGGGCCTTGCTGTGGGGCTCACAGCACTGGGGTTTTCACAGCAGAGCCTGGACTGCCATCTCTCTGAGGACTGCTCCGGCTTGCCTGCCTGAATGAAACGAGCCTCTGTCCCCCACAGGCTTGGGGACGTGGCGCTGCCCAGTTACGTGATTCAGCAGGGCACAGAAGTTAAGGGCACGACCTTCAGACACACGTGTCTTGTTTTAAACCCCAACTCTGCCACCAACAAGCCATATGCCCTTTACCAAGTTATGGCCACTCTCTGTGCCTCTCTGTTTTCTCATCTGCGAAATGGGGTACGATCACTACCTACTTCACAAGGTTTTGAGAATTAAATCAGTTCATACCAACAAAGGCCATAGAATGGTGCTTGGCATGTATGTATGTGTGTGTATCTCAAGACATGTTGGCTAGTTGTCCACGTATGTCCAGATGGTTTCTTTCAAAGCCGAGATAAAGGGGTCAACACTGGGGTGAGGGCCAACGAGACATGTTTTGAGGGATAGGCCCTGGGAGGAAATGCAGCAAGTGCCTTCCCTTTGTCAATGTCAATCGGGAATTTTTGTGAATTTTACATGGCTTGGGCATCAGCAAGGTGAAGAGGTGTCCCTGTGGGGGCTGCCATATGCTGAGGAGACGGCACCCACAGTGGCAACAACAGGGGCTCCAGGAGAGATGCCCCTTCTGTGAGTAGTGTGGGCCGGCTAGAATTTCTCCTCGGAAATGCCTGCCGAGGGTGTGTCAGCAGCATCCTTCTCTGGGCCTTGTCATCTTGTGCACTCACGACCACCATGGAAACGGTGGCATCCTGTTCTCTGCCTCCCTTTCCCTTCTGCGCTGAGCCCTGTGTAGGATGCAGGATCCGGGCAGCCCCTGGCTGGTCCTGGCGTGCTCACCACCTCTGCTGGCCAGCACTGTGCAGTGACATGCCTCAGGGAGGCCAGCCGCCCTGTCCAGACCAGGGAGCACATGCTCGTTACCTCTGGCAGCGTCAAGAGCCAAGGTCAAGGAGAACTTCTGCTCCCCCCCACCCCCCCAGCTTGGGAAACAGTGTGTTTTCCTCTCCTTGTCTGGTCCTCTCTCCGGATAGTTTTGTCACCTTGTGGAAGAGCCAGGTGTGCCTTCTCGTAAGGTGCACCGTGGTTCCCAGGGTCGGCCAGCATGCCCCAGCCAGCCACCTACCTAGCAGAGGCCTGCTCGGCCTCCACCATCTCCTTGTAGGCAGGTGGTAAACAGGCTGCCCCGCTTTCCTCAGGGAAATGGAAGGTCCAGCAGGCTGCAGTGTTACAGGCAGGGACAAACGATGTGGGCACCGAGCAGGGAGAGTAAGTCTACAAACTCCTCTTTTATGCCCCCCTCCCCCCAGGTGACAGTACCCAGTGTCCTGCCCCAGGAGCCCTGTCTGGTTCTTGTGTGTGCAGTATGATGAAGCGGAGTGGCCTCTCGCCACCCCCAGCCCCAGCCCGATCCCCCCACTCCAAGGCCACTGACAAGGCTGCAAAGGGCTGAGTCAAGGCCTTGGTTTGGCTGGGTGATCTTAGGCCACATTTGATGGAGGACAGGGGAGCTTCTAGGAGGCCTGGCTGCGAGATCTCTTTTGGATTCTCAGTGACTCAAAAAAGGAGCTTTTCCAAATGTCCTTCATCTTGGGGAGGGTTAATTCCAGGGTGGAGAAAGCATCGAGAGGCAAGCTCCAGGGCAATCTGCTGCATGCACGTCCAGCCTGCTCACTCTGCACTTGCCTGCTTTTACACCTTTTTCCTCTGGGCAGCCTCTTATCCCAAGCCTCCTACCTCTGGCACCTGCTCAACCTCCTGCTTGTCTGTTTGGACTGTCATTAGTAAAAACAAGCTGTTAGGCAGCACTGGGTGATGCTCAGAAACGATGCTCAACTCTTCGGTCAATCTTCAAGACGCCTCTGGCCACAGGTGCCATTGTAACCCCACTTCACGAGGAAGCCATTGAGGCTAGAGAGGATCAGTGCTCGTCCAAAGCTGCAATCAGGTCTCGGTGGAGCCAGACAGAAGTCCTGACCGTTTGGCTCTATGTGGTCTGCGGAAGCGTGGGAGGAGAGGTTCCAGGTCCTGGAGCCTCGAACCTGGCTCAGGTGCAGAGTGAGCACAGGTCTACACAGACGGTGGCCTAGCACTGCTTCAGAGCCAACCCTCTTCATGAAAGCTGCCTCCACTGTGGGGTCCCAGCGCCTCCCTGAAGGTGGGAGCAGGAAGCGGGTTCTGGGGGAGGAAGGATGTAGGCAAGGGTGCAAGGGGGCTCTGGAGAGAGAGTTCTGGGCCCATCTAGTCTTCTTGGTCAAAACATCTATGAAAGGAAAGGGAGGAGGGGATGAGGGAGAAAAGCTCTAAAAATAAACTTAGCAATAAACCCAGTTGTGCATTAATTACTCTGGAAGCCATTATGGCTTGAAAACCCCATAACTTTAATGGAGGCTATTATAAGCATAGTAGCAAAATCGTGGAGCTAATTACCAGGCAGTTATTAAACAGCACAGAGAGAGCACCCAGCCTTGGAGAAAGTTGGCTGGCCAGCAGGGGGCAGGTTTGTGGGAAATGGGACCTGGGGCAGGGGAGAGTCCTGGGAGCTGCAACCCCCTCCCCACCCCCAGACCTGGGCTTGTGTGTAAGAGGGGAGTGCAAGGATGCCCACCTGGCCACAGCCTGCACCTTGGAGGGAGGGCAGTGGCTTACCTGTGGCCGCAGCTCAGGCCCCAGAATTACTCGGGCCCTCACTGGCTAGGGCAGAAGGATCAACACAAAGATGGAGCAGGGGATTGGCCATACCCTGAGGCCAACAGAGGGGAGGAGGCCAGGTCAGGAAGAATGGGATGTTTGAGGAAGCCGTGAGGGGTGGCTGACAGGAAAGTGCAGGGGCCTGCTGGGGCCATGACTCCCCACCTGAACCTCGTCACTCGTGTCTGTGACCAGCCTCCACTGTCAATTGTCCCCCAGTAAGTGCAGACGTGAGGAGGCCCTTCCAACCCCCTGGTGCTCCAAGGAGCCTCCACAGGACACAGACAAAGGCTGTGCTGTGGGTAGAGGGTGTGGGGCCAAGGGGGGTGGGGACAGTCATTTGGTGACAGGAGCAGGGTGCTGGGCAGCTGTGGTAGGGAGACAGGGCAGCGTGGCCTGGACAGTGTTCTGGGTTGTGGACAGTGTCCCCCTTCACTGGGGGACCAGGTCCCATTGCCTGCCCTCCTCCTTGGGCTCCACCTTCATCTTAAAATACAGAGTCTGGGTTGGGAGAGTGCTAATGAATTTTCAGTTCTGCCATTTTAAGCAACCTAAGGTTGAGACGTTTAGGCCTCTGTGACGATGAAGAAATGTCCTGTGTGAGAAAAGTGGGGTCAGGTGGGCATCCAAGGCAGGAAGCCAAACTAACAACTTTGCATGGAACTTAGTCATGATTTAAGGACCAATTAGCTACGGAGACTGGCCATGTCTGCCAAGACCTATTTATAGGAATCTGCCTCTGGGTTTAAGGGTGTCTTGGTCTGTGTGTGAGAACCAGGGGGCATCCTGAAGGAAGTGCCCAAGAATGGGGCAGAGACAATCAGGCCGGACAAGAGATGCTGGGCCTGGGGAGGCAGAGCTGGATGCCAGACTGGTTTCAAGGCTGGATGATTCCAAATGCATGGAAAGGCGTCCTCCTGAGCCTACAGGTGTTCCAACAGAAACCTCATCAATGCCCCTAGTCCCCGAAAAGGAGGGTTATTTAATTACATTTAACAAATATTAACTCAGCATCTGTAGTGGGCAGGCACTGTGTTAAGTTCTATGGGCAATGCAGCAGCATGGGAGAGGGAGGCAATGGCTTCCTTCCAGCATCTCGCAGCCCAGAGGGAGGGAGGGACTTCACACAGGTGTCTGTGAGGCCCCCACATCAGCACTCAGCGTGACGTGTGATGAGTACTCTTGTTGTAGAGAGGGCGTGTGTTTGTGTGTGTGTGTGTGTGTGTGTGTGTGTGATGGAGGTTAGTTACTAACAAGCTCAGAAACCATCCAAGCTCCTTGTCTCTGGAGGATGATAAAGCCATGTTACCCAGTAAGTTTGGGAACAGGAGTTGGCTAGTCAAAGGAATCCATTAAAGTGAAGAGTCCTTCAAAATGCACACATATGATACATGTTTCAACTAAAGTAGCTTTTAAAGAGCCAAGAGCTCAATAGGTGCTGTTTTTCCAGGACTGCACCATATGTGGTCATTTTCCCCAAATCCAAACCACTCAGCACTGGCTAGCTTGTAGCGCTTCTGTTTTGACACAGGGCCTCAGCCTTTCCTAGGGCCGACAGACAGCTGAGGCGAGTTCCATGTTGCCTTGCCGACATCATCCACACCCCAGCGCACTGCCTGTGGCCTCCAGGGCTGATTTCTTCGAAGTGCTCCAGGACCTGAAGGACACCTGGTAAGCAATTCAAGTGCTGCATCCTTTAAGATTTTTTATGACATTTCCCACCCATCTTCACCTAATTTGGAGAACTTTTTCCCTAGACTCATCTTAGGGAGTCTTTTGAGAGTATTCAACTTCGTTTTCATAGAGACAACACATTTCTTTCTTTCCAGCTCATGTTTCATGGTCCCTGTAATATCCCATGATGGTGATAGCAAGCACGACCATTGTAAGCAGGCTGGGAGCAAACATTCTGGCCTCTCCACAAGCACGTGGCTCAGCTGGTACAAGTGGGAGGGGGCCACCAGAGGGGAGGTCCAGCAGCAGGCTTGCACAGGCAGTGTGCTTTACAGATGGGGTGAACATCAGTCGTGCGCTCAGTCAGTCGAGGAAAGGTTGGTTAAGAGAGCTTCTGCTTGTACGTGGGAAGGGAAAAAGCTGTCCTCTGTCATCTGGGAGCCTGAGACCCCTGGGGCTGATGAGGCAGATGCTGAAGCCTCCTCAGGCAGAAGCATAAGCAGCTGCAGTGGTTCGGGCCCAGAAGGAGGGGTGGGTGGGTGCAGAGAGCTGGAGCAGCCAGAGTGGCTAGGGAAGGCACCAGGCCTTTGAGCATGGGAGCAGGGATGTGGCAACAGGAGGCAGAAAGAGGGGAAATTTTAAAAGGAGAGAGTGGGAGGGATGCTGGTCAAGGTTCCAGCTTTACCC